GTACGTTACAGCCATAGCTCGAAGATCGCCTAGATGCATGCTCTGTAGTACTTTCTGGTGAAAAACCGCTGACGCTTAGCATGATTCTCAGTGCCGCTTGCATACAAACATGGGCAGGCTGGGCAGGAATGCTTCTGGCAGCCGGCTCAGCGAATTACAAGGACGCCTCAACGGTCAGGGACACGGGAAGTTCGTGCCCTATGCATAGCCTGTCCTTGTAACTCGACGCCCGCCTGCGCTGCTGCGGCTGCCATCTGACCTTCATCTGACCTCTGACCGAGCCAAGGAGACCATGCTAGAGCTCAGTGACCGCCCCTGTGCGTGCGAAGAGCGCTGCCGTGACCTTGCTCTTATCGCTGAGGGGACTGGTAGCAGTCTGGGCATCGAACTGACATCATTTGTGCTATATCCGTATGATTAATGTCACGAATGATCTGCGACGTCTTTGCAAAGCGAGGTCCATTTCACTAAAAATCGTCGAAAAATCATTGAAGATGAATCTAAGATTGCTGAGCATGATCGGCTTAAGGAATAGCCCTGCAAGGCACCCGTTTGATTTCAAGTGCCTGCCAAGGCTGACCCTCTCCCGCGTAAGGCTTCAGGCCTTGCTGGAGTGTTGATGCGAAGTTGGCCAGCTTCACCTGCACTCACACCGATACAACCCATTAAAGTGCGTTCTCCAGTAGGCCCTGCCGGACCTGGCACGTCATCGCCCGGTCCCGGCCCCTCAACTGGAACCCCGGTGGTGTCGGTGGGTCTGCTAGTTGCAAATCCTATCCGTTGTCCATCATTACTCAAGTCTGAGTCTGCCTTCGGGAGAAAGCTTGGTTGACCGCGGAAGCACTTTATCGCGCGGCGTTCTTCTGACCGTGACACCTGGCGTGGTCATGCCGTTTGTATGCAATAACCATGAGCGCTGTCTTACGTACATGATGCAAATGGTATCCACGAGACGGGAAGTGCATCTTAAAAGCACCCAGCTCTGGGTGATTGGGCGCGTTGGTCGTCCCCTGGCAATATATATAAATATATATGTGAATATATATGAATTATTCATGCACGCTGTTGGCATTGCACCCACGGTGTGCTGCATATTATAATTCGCATCAGTAGAGTGATGAACTAAACCCTTCCTGACCGGTGTCTGGTCATTTTCTACATCAAGTTGATGAATGGTGACCTTTGTCAGCAAGGTTGTACCTGCCAGCTTGTTACGCTGAAGACAGTTTGACAGCTATGCGGGAGATGGCACTTTACAGCACAAACACACCAAGCGTATTGGGAGAAACCACTGTTCGGCACGTGCCAGGGAATGCAAATGCGTCATTTTGAAGAAAAAAACGCTCTGACCCGTTTCTCTTGGCATCCACCGGTTATCTGCCTGAGCATCAGCATAAAAGCCCACCCACCCACCCACCCACCCCCAAAACGTTTTTTCATACATACAGTGGTAGTAAGAGGCATCGATCGCACTGGCCGAAGGAGCGGTTACCATGCCGTTGTCATGTTACCAGGTCAGTTCCATGCAGAGCCTTGAGCTGGGTCCTGTCAGGTCCACTCAACTAAGCGAAGCTTGTTGCCGAGTGTGCTGCAGAAGCCAGCGTCGTGAATACGGGTACCAGTGCATGACAACGTTGAGATGAGCGGTACTGTATATCCCCGAGTAGGGTTTTATATGAAGCGGGATACCATCAGACCGGGTAAAAAGTTTTAGTAATGATTTAGGTGGTGTCAGATATGTTGGTTACGTCGAAATGTATTGGTGAAATGATATGAGTTGAGCTGTCCACAGTGACTTGTACTTTTCTACGTGACGATAATTTTTAAACCGTGGTGCCCTCAAAAGCAAACCTTAGCACAGGAAATCTGAACGTTTTGCTTCACTTGAACACAACCTCTACAAACATCATGCATTATGCTGTATTGGGGCTTAGAGGCTTTGGTGAGCCTTAATGCATATGTGTAAGCTATGTTAAGTTAGTGATAGCCGCGGAATCTTAAACGTATGGGCACTAAAACTTTCCATATATATTTGCGTGTAAAAAAGCGCCGCTCACATTCATAACTGTACATTGTAACACTTGCTCTGACTTTTTGCAGAGGCCCAAGCTTGCGGCGATGAAGGGGTTCCAAAATTTGCGTTAAGTGCACGTTATTTACAGCGTGAGATTTTATTCAGATGATAAGAACACCCACTGCATCCGTATCTTTTTTCCCTGCTGAATATGCCATTCCACGCCGGTAGCGCGAACCGGTTTGCACCAGAAATAACGGGGTTGTGGCGGCGAACACTGATCGTGCGATGTGCATTTGCATGCTTGAAATGCGCTCGCCACTTGCTTTGCAACAGCAGTTTCACAACACGCTCCCGGCTGTATCCAGCACACCATCGATGATGCGGGAATTCTCAACAGTGCGGCATTGTTGACACAGGCAGCGTTTTAGAGCTCGCAGAGACCTCAACGCCATATTTGTTGGATTACATTGATACATGATCACATGAACATGATGTAAGCAACAAGGTCCTTCAGCTCTTGGTGTTTCGACATCATTATTTCGGGGTTCTTATGCTGAATAAGTGACCATCAACATACCAAGATGTTTTGGTCAAACAACATCACAAAGCAAATGACTTTGTTAACAGCACTCGCCGCTTCGAACTGGTCTTAAGATCACTCGCGATCACACGATCACATGGGATTGCATTGAGACAGCGCGCCCCACGAGAACAAAATTGTTTCCATCCCGTCCCGGTGCAAATTCTCGACACGTAAAGGTCACTGACCTGACGGATGTGGCGTCCAGGTGACCGCGCAATCTGGGGCACATCACAGGTTGGCGTCTCAGGCTCCCCCGACTGGCAAAGTGAAGATGTCTCGCTGCGATCGTCGATGAAAGGCCATGGTCGGTAGTTGAAGCCAGTAATGGAATGGAAGCCACTAATGTAAGCCAGAGCGGCTTCAGTGGAGTATGAGGCCTCAAACCGTGCTGAGCCGAAGAGAGCAGGCTGCTGCAGGAATGATAACGACGGACTGCTTATTCTCTTAAAACCTGTCGTGGCAACAGTGATGTGAGAGTCAGGAACGTCGGAGAAGGAAATGATAGAGCTGGATAAATGCAGAGGCACCACACTAAAAGCCGAACACATCAAAGCACGTCATTCACGTATCAATATCGGCATCACTTAAATCTCGTATTACGTCAGCAGATGACTGGACCATTGGGAATACTGATGATGTTATATAAGGTCATGATATGGCATGATGGAATGATGTGTTATGAGTACATGACATGATGTGGTGATATGGTGAGGTGATATGATCATATGGTATGTGATGGCATGCTATGATGATATGGTGAGGTGATGATATGGTGAGATGATGATATGATGACATGGTATGTAATGGCATGCTATGATGATATGATCTGAGAATACTGATGATGATGATGCC